AAGTAAGAAGGTACCAGAGGGGCCCAAAGGAAGTCAAGACAGTAAAAAACATTTTTTAAAAAGGAAGGAGGGTCAAAGGCTTTAGAAATGTCAAATTAAGATAAGGCCTGAAAGATACCTACTGAACTTAGCTATTAGGCAATTGATGATATTGTTACAAATTAAAACATACCTAACTAAAATTAGGTTCCACTTAACAGTTGTTTAGGCTCAGGCCGGAATCATTATGCCAGTTTCCCTTCTAGTCTGAGAAGACGACTCCAATATAGGAGAACCTGAAAGAAGGCCACATTATCAAGGAAAGATCCTAAATTGCCCGTCTGATTAGAAAGACCCAAACACCTGGGAAGGGCCTGGCTTTTCCCATGCACAAACCTCAGCAAGTCAGAACAGAGAATCAGGTCTGTTTCAGAATACATGACTTAGCCACATAAAACAGTGACCAGATAAAAACCAGACTCATTTGTTTCTTTGGAACATTCTGTGGCACTGCCCTCTAACCAAAGCTATCAGCTTGCCCTATTCTTCGAATCTGACCAGCTTACAACCGTTCCATCGCCTGATACTCCATGGCTGCTCCAATGCCTACATCTATACAATGCCTTAGCTATTCAGAACACTATGCTTTCTTAATTATAGCATCACTGAAATTCCATGAGTAGTCAGCCTAAAGCCCTAATAAACCTTTGCCCCAATTTGGTCCCACTTCACAAGTCAAAACGGAGCTGTTGTGAATAGATGAAACAGGAAGCCATGGTTTGACAAGGCCCATCATTACAGAGCAGTCTAAGGATTCAGAAAACAGGGAACAACTAGCTTGGGGAGTAAGAGCCATCTGATCCTTTAGCACCGCAAATGCATGTCTACTCTAGGACTTACCACAGTATGTTTTATTTACATTTGCCTATTTTGCTTTCCAGAGCTGGAAATAATGTGCCTTTAATGCATAACAGGTCTGCCATACATCCCATCAGACTGGATGGCTAGGCAGAGATTAAGATGGCTAGAATTCAAGGGCCAGTCACCTCAGCTTGTAAGCACCATGTCTATTACCATTTTCTATGTATGCCATGATGAGAAAAGATTGGGGAAATATTTTACCAAACCAGGAGCCCCTTGCTAACAGGGACCATGCCTTATTCATGTTTCATGTCCCCAACACCATGATTAATCTGTGGCTAGTGACTAACATGCTTGCTTTTGAGGAGTCTGGTTCTAACGATGGTGGTGAAACATTTCTGAGGTTGAGGAAGACTATTCTATAGATGATCCCTGATCCTCTTCCTGTATCTGACAAACTCGAGAAGTAGTTGCTACATTTTCAGAACCCTAAGGTTCCTTGGGTGGGATTCACAGGCTTCTGGGTGGGGGTGGGGGGAACCACATGAGAGGCTCTAATTATGCTCCATGACTCTACACCACCACCAGAGCAGCTCCATTTAAAAAAAAAAAATCTTAATGTTTCTTATTTTTGAGAGAGAGAGAGAGAGAGAGAGAGAGAGCAAGCAGGGGAGGGGCAGAGAGAGAGGGAGACACAGAATCCGAAGCACGCTCCAGGCTCTGAGCTGTCAGCACAGAGCCTGATGTGGGGCTCGAATTCAAGGACCACGAGATCATGACCTGAGCCGAAGTCGGCAGCCCAACCGACTGAGCCACCCAGGCGCCCCTAGAGCAGCTCCATTTTTATCCACTAAATGTATTAGACTTCAAGTAAGATTTTACACAAGGTAACGTTCTATTGCTTTTAACAAAAAAAGAGGAAAGGGTCAAAAACCATCGCAATGAAGGGGCACCTGAGTGGCTCAGTTGGTTAAGGGTCCAGCTTCAGCTCAGGTCATGATCTCACAGTTAATGAGTTCGGGCCCAATGTCGGGCTCTGTTCTGACAGTTAGGAGCCTGGAGCCTGGTTCAGATTCTGTCTCCCTCTCTCTCTCTGCCCCTCCCCTGTTTGTGCTCTGTCTCTCTCTCTCTCAAAAATAAAAAAACATGAAAAAAAAATTGAGAAAAAAAAAAAAAAACATCGCAACGGAGAGCAAACATTCTCCTGCAGCCTAAATTATGTTTCCTTTCACATTTAAATTATTTAAGTTTAAACATCCATGCTTGGGGCACCTGGGTGGCTCAGTTGGTTAGGCATCTAACTTTAGCTCAGGTCATGATCTCATAATTCATGAGCTCAAGCCCCGCATCGGACTCTGTGCTGACAGCTTGGAGTCTGGAGCCTGCTTTGGACTCTGTGTCTCCCTCTTTCTCTGCCCCTCCCCCACTCATACTCTGTCTCTCTTGCTCTCTAAAAAATAAACATTAAAAAAAATTTTAAACATCCATGCTTGACACTCACAAAGGAAGCGTCATACGAGGCTCTCATCAGTAACAGAAGAGCTAAAAGGTATGATGAGATATGCTACACCCCATCATCTCACCTTTCTTCAGGAATATGGTGATAATGGTAGAGCCCTGAAATCCTGAGCCATGTCCCTTCTGGTCCTTTGAGAAGTCCAATGCAAAGCTCTTACATGTTCACGGAATCCCTACCTCAGTCAGTTCCTACCCAGGCTATAATACAAACCTTCAAACATTTGTGGAACTCTTTCTAGATGTTCCCCATGTTTTTTCACTATCAAAAAGCTTTACTAGCACTCTACCTATAACTGCAACAGATGTTGAAAATGTATAGCAAATAGAATTACATAGATATCACAACTCTGGACCTCCATACAGTACATTCTGAAACGTACTCAGAAGTAGACATTTAAAGGAGACCCTGAAACGAATGGCCCAGGGGCGCCCAGGTGGCTCAGCAGGTTGAGTGTCTGACTTCCACTCAGGTCATGATCTCCTGGTTCGCAGGTTCAAGCCCCACGTTGGGCTCTGTGCTGACAGCTTGGAGCCTGGAGTCTGCTTCGAATTCTGTGTCTCCCTCTCTCTCTCTCTGTCCCTCTCCGGCTCACACTGTCTCTCAAAAATAAACATTAAAAAAAATTTTTAAAGAAAAAAGTGGCCCAGGAAATGGAGGATGCTGAAATACTGAGCCCTAAAATAAAGGGACCCTGAAATCTAAATCACTGACCTAGGTCAACGAGAGTGCTCTTTTATCAGAGTCGACCATTACTTCAATCATGCTTTTTTTTTTAATGTTTATTTATTTTGAGAGAGAAGAGAACACTCAAGCTGGGGAGGACAGAAAGAGAGGGAGAGAGAGAATCCCAAGCAAGCTCCATAATAACAGTGCAAAGCCCGATGTGAGGTTCAATCTCACGAACTTTGAGATCATGACCTGAGTCGGACTCTTAACTGACTGAGCCACCCAGGCACCCCATGCTGACTTTTCTAACATGAACACTATTCTTGAGCCTCCACATCCTCACCCTGCATCCAAGTTGATGGTTCAGGGCCCCTGCCTTGCTCCAGCTTCACCTCCCACTCGGGCAGCAGGAGCTGCCTGTGTAAGGCTGATGCTGAAAAAAGATTTTATTGCTCATAAGCCTACAACCAGCAAAGAAAGTCATGGTAACAATCATCCCTCTACACAGGCAGCAAGTTGTTCTTCTGTCAACCTTCTCTAAGGCAGCCCTGAGTGCTCATATTATTATTACTATTATGATGGTGATTATTCGTAGCAACTAATATTTATTTGAAACTTACCATGCTTTGTATGAAACTGAGTGCTTTACACTCAGTTATCTCATTTAATTCTCATGCCTATATTATGAAGGTACTATCTTTGTCATGCTCTTCACTGATGAGGAAAATGAGGAATAAGAAAGGACAAGTAATTTCACCGAAATTATATACAACTAGTAATTAACAGAGGCAGGATTTGAACCCAATTTTGTCTAATTCCAAGGACCACACTCTCAATTACCAGACCATTTTGCCTCTAAATTGACCTGCAACAAAAATGGTGAGGAGGAAAAAAAAAAAAAAAAAAAATGGTGAGGAGAACCAAACACAGTGAGATGCTTTGAGTCTCCGGCTGCTTGGCAGCCATTTCTAAAGGTGTACAGAGAAGCAGATTCCACAATTTCCCTATTATTTACTCGGCTTTAACAAAACTGGTTTTAAAGAAGTTCCTCCTTTTAAGTAACAAATCCCACCCACTATCCTCTGAGTCCATTTCCTCTTGACTCAGTGGAAAAGAGAGTAGCAGAGATGAACACGCACAATATGACCCTCTGTGCACTTAAGACTTCACTTCCACTCTTTCCAGCCTGCTGTCCTCCCTCCTTTATACTTGCATTCAGTTTAATAATAGCAGCTACCATTCACTGGCACCACTTCTGTGCCAGGCACCACACCACAGATACTGGCTCCCTCCTCCATAATCTCCAGAATTCCAATTTTGACTTAACATTTAACGGAGACCCCTTTAGCCCACATAGAGAAGCAGGGGATCTGAGATTTCAGATAAATAATGACTTAGTGTTCTAGTAATATTTTTCTCTTTGGGTCTTAGTTTCCATTATCCAGGCCTGTTTTGTGCCTCTTAGGAAGGTGGAGAGACTCAGACTTAATTACAATGGCTAAGGGCTTTTGTACCCTCACTCAGCTATCCCCAGGCACTCTCCCTGAGAGTCAAATCATCTCTCTCTCTTTCCTTAAACTGTAATCAGAAAGCTTGTTGAGTTCTATCCATTCACATCCCATATACATCATGAGTGTCTACTGTTTGCATGGGCATCGTGGGTGACACAACATGAGATCCAATCCCTGCAACTGAAATGTTTCTTCTCTTTGGAAAAACAAGACACACACAAAAATTTTGACGGTGCAAGGTAATAATTCTATGCTGGGAGGCAGGAGGCACGTAAATATGTCATACATGGGGGCCCTTCCCAGCTAAATCCAAGGTCATTGATTCATTCTGTGAAAAAGTGACCTCTGTGGATCAGCTTCTTTCTTAAAATGAGCTTTTAGAGACACGTTAATTCAAACTCAGGTCTAATGGGCAATAACCAATTCACTGCTCCCTTCCAGTCATACCAAGTGGAGACACTTACCCCAAGAAGCTCAAGACAAAATGGCAGCAAAGCTGGTCACCACCTGATTAAGGAACAAGGGGAGAAAAGTAGGCAGAGACTAGATTCTGTCCTGTTGCACTGACCCACGCAATCAGACTCCTGCAGCAGATCTCCTACCAATAAAACTTTCATGCCATAGACCAGGGGTGACCCAATCCAACAGCAGCAGAGACAGGTTTTGAGTTACGCTTCTCCCTCAACCGGATGACCTCACTATTTCTTCTCACTCCTGACCACATACCACACTCCTCCGGGCCTGGCCAGAATGAGACCGGCAGTAATACAACCCAAAAAGAAGGGAACTCCCCCAAGAGAGGAGCTACCACTTTGCTATTCAAGTGGCTAGGTTTAACAGGGAACTCCACCTCCCCCTCCTTCCCTCAAACACTGGTGTAAGCAATGGCTCCATTTTCTGTTCCGGGAATCCTGGTACTTCCTAAAGCAAGAAAGCGGATTGGAAGACACAAACTCAGAGCCAGCGACAAGCTGCTCCCTCCTCCTGTGAGACCGCCCCCGCTTTGCCTGGGGGAGGAAGGCACCACCTCTCCTCTCCAAGCAAGATCAGATGCCCCCTCCCCCTTCTCCTGCCTCTTCTCCTCCCGCTCCCCACCTGCTGCCCTCTTCCCAACGTGTGGTTCCCAAGACCCAAAAGCGCAACCTTTAGCAGAACAGTGCCCCCGGGGTGCCCCAGTAGCTTGCCTTGTCACCTAATCCCTAAACCCCCTACGCACCCCTGCCCCATGATGGGAGTAGAGGGTGTCACCGCAGCAAGGCTCTGGTCTCCTAGTGCTAAGGTGGAGCGGGAGAGAAGATAGGAAAAAGAGGCATTCCCTAGCCCTTTTAACAGAAAAAGGATACAAAACAGTCATCACCGCCCCCGCACCACCTCTTTATGGACTGTTTTCCTCCACCTCAACCCCGACCCCTCGTAAGCCCACCTCCTGCAGGCGAGGAGAACCTAACTGCAGCCCGGGTCGCCCCCGCGTGCGAGGCAGAGGCACAAATTCGTGTGCGCCCCCCACCCCCACCCCAGCTCCGCGTCCTTCAAATGCGGGGGCAGGCGAGAGACTGGCCCGGCGCCCCCTCTCCGAGCTCTCCGGTGGGAAAGACCACACCGCTCCTTGCCCGGCAATGCCTGGGGCGGGGGGAGGGGGGTCTATCTCCTCAGCCCCCTCCCCGAGCCTCTCCTCTACGGAGACCCGCCTTCCTTCCCCAGCCCCTCACCTGTTCCTGCTCCCAGCTCCGCCGCTGCGGCCGCCGCCTCCGCCCCCGCAGGTTCCGCTCGGCACTGGTTCCGCTCCCTCCGACACCCCCAAGCCGATTTCGGCACCACTGCTCCCCTGGCCCCGCTCCCTGGCTCCCTCCTTCCTTTCCTCCACCTAGCACCGGAAGCCGCGACGGCGACGGGAGCTGTGCGGCGCACCCCCACCCCCAGACCGGGATACTTCCCACCTCCCCGATCGCGCGAGAACTGCGCGGTAGCGTGCGGCAGTTCTCGCGAGATCCATCACCATGGCAGCGGCTGCAGCAGAGGCAACCGGGTGCTGGAGCTGAACCTGGGCGGGGGCCGATGTGGGGGCTGCAGGCTGAGGGTGGCGGAGGCGGGAGCCGGGAAGTGGGGATGAGGCAGTGGGGACTGAGGTGAGAATCCCAAGCTCCAGGGCCATTCCTGGAATTTAAGGACTGGAGCGGCGTGCTGACCACACTGGAGAGGGTTTGGGCGGAGAGGCAAAGCCAGGAGCAGGGTATGAGTGAACAGTCCTTGTTATGGATCACCTTACTCTTCTAGACAACATCTTTTCCACACCTTTTTTTTTTTTTTTTTCAATTCCGCTGCTCCAGAGTTCCCCCAGACCACATCTTTTATTTCTTAACCCTGGTTAGCTGCAACTACCTGAGAGCCCTCGCTGCATCAGTGTTGCTACTCACTACTCCTAAGACTGAGTCTTAGGGGTCTGAGTACTCAGGGGTCTGAATCAGGAGATCCTTTCCCATGGCGAAGAGGAGAGAGAGTGATGAATTTAAGAGACCGAAGGAAACAATTGGACTCTGGACCAGTTAGGAGGTTGGAAAGTGAAAGACAACCGGTGGAAGCCTAATATTAAGAGGCGTGGTTTGAGGATGTGTGACTAGATGACTATGAATTTTAGTATCCCAAGGAAAGTGAGAGACTTTGCACCCATGCTTCTCCACTCGTGCCCACCTCTACTTCCTTTACACTCATTTCTGCACCTGATCTAGACACGCAAAGCTGCCTTGGAACAGTCTCTGCTGTGCGAGAAGAGCACTAGTAATGCTAAGAACAAAAGAAGGTTCTTTAAGTGTCCTCTCCCCTCATTTATAGCAGTATAAGGGAACACATAGCTGTTCCCTAAGGCTTGAGTCAAAATTGTTGCTTTTCTGGATTTTTTCTTTCTTTTTTTTTTTTTTT